TTTTTTTTTTTTTTTTTTTTTTTTTTGTCTCCGGGATGCAATAGAACGCGTCCAAATTAATGCCAGTAGGCATTACGGCTATAACCACAGTCAGTAACTATCTATTGGTTAGCCATGAGTAGATAGCGGATTTTTACGTTCTTAACATCCACAGAAACGCAATAGAAAACATCAAAAAGCCTTGCAAAAAAATTACTTAACAAATTTATAAAAACTCAAAATTAAAAACAGGGGCTTAATGGTCCTCCCCACGAAAAGATTTAATTAATAAATACATTTTTCTAGCTCTACAAAAATGGTTAATAAAAAGTATTAATATTTTTTTTTTTTTAATACGTACGATTTTATTGAAAAGAAATAACATTTTATGTGTTAATCATTTTTGTAGTTAATAATGGTAATTTAATTCAAAAATTGAGTGTCGTTGGATGCAGAATTTGAAACCCCATCTATCATTTTTACTTTTTTAAATGTTTTTTTTTTCTGGGTTTATTTTGTGTTTATAAGCGCTTTTTTGTGGATTACAAAAGAATATAAATCCGGCCTCTAGCTACAAAGTTTGTAATACTACCATAATACTAGTAACATAATCGTTTTCATAATAACATTAGGCATAGTAACGACCGTTTCGACAAGGTACAACGCGAAAATGACGTTTCGGTAAACGACCGCTAGATGGCACGGTAAGTAACGAACCGAGACGGAAACTATTCGGATTAATCGTCACGACAATATTATAATGTTCCGGATAATATTAAACGAATATAATACTTAATTAAATATTACACACTTATACCTACCTATTCGTATATTTTTTTTTAATATCGCGGAATCACGGTAATTTGAACACGCATCATTTTAATTAAGACGCGATTAGGATTTATTTACCTATGCTACAATTAATTTCGTTCGAGGCGTACACGCGTATGATACAACGATCTTGTGACGGGTCTGTTAATAGGCAGGTACCTACCTATTTAATGAGGCTTCTAAATTTTTTAGTTTTAATTAATTGCCGTGCCCGGTGTAGTGCACACTGCAGTAACAATGTATTTTTATTGTAAATAATATTGTGTACTGCAGATAGCCACCGAGATACACGCGAAAAAAACATTCAAACAAAAACAATAAATTTCCCTCGACGGAAAAGTGGTTGGAAATTAAACGCTAATTAATTAAATTTTACGCGTAAATTTAAACGTACATTTCATTGATTTATCGCGGTAAAAAATTGTTCGACGAAAACAAACACTAGGTGTTCAGCCCGTCAAATGTATTATTATATTATGTCCGTAAAAGTGTGATTTGAATAGTTAAACTCATCATTTATACGGGTTGTGGCACCGCGCTCGACGCGTTATTCAAGAGTTGTTGATAAATATTCAATTTTTCGAACAGTTTTTTTTTTTTTCAATTTGCTTTTCTCTGAGGGTAACATCTATATTTAGAGAAAATTAAATTTTTCATTTTTATCTACAGAAAAAAAAAAAATAAACGAACTCAAAAAAAATCTATTATGCATTTAATCACTCTAAAACATCTTCAAAATAGGCATTTTATAAAAAATAACGTTCTGAACATTTGAATGCATAAAGCTTGCCGCACACTATACCGGAACGGATCGGAACAATCGATAAAAATTCGATTGCATGCGTTTAAACGGGTCTCCGCACATTAGTTCGGATCGGATCGGGATCGTCACGTCAGAACGGAACGGAACGGCCGTGATATCTTACAAAGAATATTTATTCCGATTCCGAACCGTTCCGTAGCGTTTCGAGTATCCTGTTTTCGTACATCTGGCACGATCACATCCAATAGTTCACAACGTTTTTCATAACTCATCGGAAAAAATTCTGGTTATCTTTTTTAAACGTACGTAATAATGTATTAAGCTGCCGTTTCGTCGCTCTTTTCCTTTTGTCTCCGTGAACCCGCCACGGTATTTTTTTTTTATACATTTGTTTCCTTCTTTCATCAGCAAGTGCTAATGTACACGCTAAACACCATTTGTTCTTCTTCGTCGCTACTATCATTCATTTTTAATTAATAAAATCTTTTTTTTTTTTTTGAAACAACTAATTGGAAAAGTAACTTTCGGTTTCTACAAAATCCGACGTAGTGTGCGACAAGCGTAAATAGGTTTTTTTTACCAACAGATGTTTCTATTTTCAATATTATATTCGATTTATAACACAACGAATTCCCTATCGCGTTACGCGGAAGTTTTCTTTTTCACACATTTTATGTGTGTGTTAAAACGCCTGTTGTTGAGAAACCGTCGATCGGATGTTGAATAATGAATGCACGATACACTAAAAAAATGTGTAATAATCGGTAAAAATTGTGAATTTTAATTCAACTAGGAATGGCCATTGGCGAAGCGTTGTTTCTTTTTACCTCGGTAAGTATAATTTTATCTTTTCTAGATAAATAAGAAATAAGTTATTTGAAAAAAAAACTCAAATAAAATTGAGGTTATCACCTATCGCATTTCAATATTATTGTTAGTAGCGTGATTTAACCGGAGGAGTGTTGTGAAAATAGAATATGTTATAAATATGCCTAGTTATAAATAATATATTATGGCAGGCACCAATAGAGTACGAGGACCAAGAATGGACAGAAACATAAATCATTTTGATAGCAAAACAAGTATGTTACATGTTATCATTTATCAGTTATCACTATTTTTTATTTTTAAATATAATATCTCAATATAAGTCTAATATAATAATAATAAAAAAAAAAAAAATTGTTTCATTTTAGTATCGATTCACTTTGAAAAAATTTTAACCTCTAGTGACCGCGCCCCATTTAGGGACTCGGAATTTGGCATCCGGGCGATCGACTCCCATCGCCCCTTCTAAATACGACACTGTTATACGTTATTAGTGACAATATGTTTAATATTCAATTTATATCAATAAAAACGAGTAAAGAAACGAATTACTAAATTATATACCCAATCGCACAAACTTTCCGGTGTTTAGATGTACGCGAAAATCCGATACATATACATATTTTATACTACTTTTAGCACGTAGTTTTGTGACGGGAAACGGATATAATTGTTTGTTGTTTTTTTTTTTTTTTCTTTCAAACCTTTTTATTCGGCACCTACTTTGTCATCTGATTCTTTTTACAATATTTCCGCAAAGAAAATTAATGTAGCCCATTTATTAGATATTTTAAAATCCGTCCACGCATACAACATTACCGCAGGGTACAGGTACACCGGCAACCGTCGAAATCGTATCGCTCGGGACGCGTTATTTTCGACCGTGTCGTTCGAAATCGCCAACCAAACGCAATATTGTTGCACGGCATTACTCCCGTTGTACGGCAATATAACAGGTCTCTCTCGCCGTGCTCAAAATCTTGCCGTTACTGTATTATACATTTCGCCCATACGTGCAGGTACGGATTAAAATAATAACCTAAATAGGAATTTTAAACATTCATACCGTATAACACGCGATTAATGTTTAATAAACCGTAATCACAAAACGTACCTGTATACACACCTACGTGTGTACGATTATTATTTATAAAAAAAAAATAAAAAAATATACACTTTATATTCACCGGTGTACACGCGATTTTCTCACGGGAGAAAAACGGAGGTGCATTGTGCTATTGCGAAGTACTACGCCCGAGGTTTGTGATGCCGGCGGGCCGGCAGGGCGATAAAAATAAAAAAAAAAGAACAATTTCTCAGCGTCCGATAAACTATACAGGGTATGTTACTGTAACTGTACAGGGTGATTAGTTTATCACGAACCGGCGATTTTCTACGAAAGTTTCGGGTAAATTTAATTTTGGTTTTTTTTTTTCCCGGCGCATCGTAAACGCATCGGTTTAACGGTGTGAAACGGTTTCATTTGCAATATTTTCAACATTTCACAATACGCTGTTATTCCGCCCGCGCGAAACACACATACATGTATGTCATGTATCATCGAATTATAGGTAAAATAAAAACTGTCGAAATAACGGCAAACGTGGCCGTGGGACGGTTCAATAATTATTACTCAATAGAATCAAAACCAAATTTACACAAAACTAGATTGAAGATTTTACCAAAATTAAAAAAAAAAGTACTCGTCATAGCGTGGAAAAAATACATTCCTCGTTGTGTTCGGAATCTGTAAATAAAAAAGAGCCGACACTGCCGAGCATTAGCCAAAACAGTCTTATC